ACAAGCAAACGGATTGGTATAACGTTTTCACCGACAACTTAAAACTTCACTATCAGCTGCAAACGTTTCACAGTGGACCGATGCTCTTCCGCTCATCTTACTAGGTATTCGCAATGCAGTGAAAGCTGACTTTGGATACACTGTGACTCATCTCGTTTATGGAACTACAGTTCGACTTCCAGGAGAATTCGTGGATCGCTTATTCTCTTCATTGGACATGGATGTAACCTCCTACACGAACAGGCTTACAAACGCAATGCGTTCAGTTAAACCTGCGTCCACTCGACCACAATCAATCAATGTTTTCGTTGAACCTGACTTACGATATAGTACACACGTCTTCGTTTATCGAGAGTCACATTGATAACCTTTCGAATCAGCATACGAAGGACCTTTCAAAATTCTTCAACGCGAACCGAAGTACCATATAATCGATAAGAACGGAACCAACGATAGCATCAGCATCGATCACCTCAAAGCAGCGTATTTAGAAGGAAATCCTATTCTTGTCGACTTTCCTTCGGTACAATCGCACAACACGACTCCTACGCTCATTATTCCTCAACCGACAACCAACACTAGCGATGATACTCCGAATGTATCTGAAAATAAACTTAAAACGACGCGTTCTGGAAGAAAAGTAAGATTTCCGGAACGTTTAAACGACTATTGCACGTAAGGCACTACTTGGCATGTTATACTATCTCGATGTTTCTTTTTGCGATATATAATATTTTTTAAAAATTTTTTAATGTGCCTATATGTTTATATTCTTATTTAAAAAACAACAACAAAAAACATATAATTTTTTCACGCTATTACGTGTTCTTGGGTTTATTCTCCATTTTTTTCGCCGACATTGTGTTTTTTGCGCACATACGAGTGTATTTTGACATGCACTTACATTTTCTTTTTTCTTTTCCGGGACGGCTGGAAAAGGGCGATGAGGTTTACGAGGAGTCGAAATTTTCATTGTACTTTTCCTTTTTTACTATGTTGTACCTCGGTCAAATGTAGTAAGGAAAGGCGACCAGACGCTGCTAAATATTGTAAGCTATCAGAAGAGTGTTTACCAACGACAAACTCGTTGGGTTTAAACTTCTGGCTGGCCACGTCTTAGGGTCATCACTGCCCCACCAGGGTGGAGAGTGATCTGTAGCGGTAAATAAATCCCCAAAATAAATAGCTCTGCGAGTTTTCGACATTGGATGCTGATCATATGTTTTGGTGGACTCATCTAGCTGAAGGCGCTCGGTCATGCATCCGCACCAGATCACGTGTGGTAACGCTGTGCTCAACATCTACCACAATCGCTAGCCAGATTAGATCACAGAATTCCGGTATATTGGTTATCGCCAAATACACTCTTCCGATCTCCTCGACTCTGTCTTTTGATTTCTCTTGGTGGGTACGAATTATATTAGATGTTGCTGGTAAAAGCGTTGTCAAACACTTAATACTTGTGTCATATTCACTGTGATACGCTTGTTCAGATGTCAGATACACAGTTAATTACAATGAAAAAGCAGGCTTCGATATTGTGCTGTAGTCGGTCAGCGTTTAGATGAATGGATGATGTTTCAAAATTGTAAAAACGCACTAAGCACTGATGGTAGATTTCGTGCGCAGATTCAATTCGTTCACCAACAAGGCCATTTCGATTTTGTAGAACTTGACATTAATATTATTTGAACTTTTCTTTTAGATACGGTGCTCATGGTATACTTGGGTGTGATCAAGAAATTACTCAATTTATGGTTAGATGTTTTTCACAAAAGACTTAGAAACGTGTACAAACCCGTAGTTATGGATATAATTGAGTTAATATCGAATTTTATAGCACATAGTCTTTCAGACTTTCAGCGTCAATGTTGAATATTAGACGTCGATCTAGAATAGAGTGTCGACTGTTCCTGTTGTATTTAAGCCCTGTAATTCCTCAACATTGTTTACCACAACCGTTTTACTTTAATTTAAAGCATTTAACATTAGCGACGTACTTATTGTCTCATTTGAGATTACATAATAGCGCAACGGAATCAGTCGGAGATGGTTGACTTAATTTTCTCCTAACTAATATGATTAGTTTTACGATCCTGAGAAATTAGTTTATAATGTGCATTTGTTGAAGTACCTTCTTGATGACATTCTACCTTCCTATTTGAGTTTTTTATGAGGCAGATTAGGAAGCGAGTGCACAGGGGGTACGCTATAGCCAAGCAAGCAGCTCAGACTTATGTTGAGAAGATATCTTTCTGTGGTAGGTTGTAAGCTAGCATATTGGCAACTAATTTACAAGCGATCGTTAAGTCAGACCATAGAAAACAAGTAATTATGCTTGAGAACACTAAAATAGCTTTGTTTGAAACGGACAATGTTATATTATTACTTGGAAAGCATGGGTTAATAACTGATATAGGGGAAAAACGGATTAATGAAACTTAGGTCATTCGCTGACCGTTTCATCGGCAGTGTGTGTTTTAAAGCAAACAAAAAATAATGTTCAACAAATCATACAAAGAAATAGTAGGTAGTGAATATAAGTGTGGGGTGTGCCAAATAGAGAGAAAAATTGGTCTTTATTTTGTTGTTACGAAAATCATTGAATATACACGTCATTACAACCCTTAAACATTTCCATTTCTGGCTACTAGTTTGACTGACTTCAGAGTCTTTGGTTATAATGTTGTTAGAAACAACAGCACTTTCAAGCCCTGAATATACATGAAGTCTTCAGCGTCAAAATCGTATACTCATAGGACTAACAATCTTAGGTACTTATTGAAAGTAACATTGAAAGTTTCCTTTCTTTTTAGTCGTTCCGTGTACTTTCCAACCATCCTCCACGGATTTATGTTATCTTATCGTCTTATGTTGATTTTCTTCCAGTTCAGAATGACCTTCATTACACATTTGATTCAGTACCAGACAAAGCTGATGGACAAATTTGCCTCTAACCCTAGGAGCCTATTCCGTTATGCAGCCTCTCTTCGTCAAGCCAAAACAGGAGTTTCTCAACTGCTAGGTCTTAACGGCCCGACCAACAACGATGGCGACGCCGCTAACCTTCTGGCGGCACATTACACTCAAACATTTCAACCGGCTGACATCAACTTCATTGACGACAGTTTCATCTGCGATTCCACAGGACTTTCCGAAGTAGACCTAAGCGCTGACTTGATGTTCCGGAAATTGCAGCACTTAAGACTAGATACTACTCCTGGCCCGGATATGGTTCATTCTGCCATACTGAGGGAGGCAGCCTCAATCCTGTCAACGCCGCTTAGCGCGATGTTTTCACACTCGCTAAGCCGAGGCAAATTACCGGAAAATTGGAAGTTGGCTCACATCACACCAATTTTCAAAGGTGGTCAACGCAATGAACCTTCAAGTTATCGGCCGGTGGCTCTTCTGTCATTACCTTCAAAACTCATAGAGTCCCTGATATGCGACGGTTTAAACGACTATCTACTGTCCTTAAATTTCTTTTCACCCCAACAGCATGGTTTCAGGAAGGGTTACTCTTGTATAACCAACCTGCTGACTGCGGTGGACAGATGGACAAGCATCCTTGATCGCAAAGGAAAGGTTGATATCATTTACCTTGATTTCTCAAAAGCTTTTAATAAAGTTAACCACTTGTGTCTTATCAATAAGCTCAAAGGACTAGGTATCAAACCACCTTTAATCGATTGGCTTTCTTCATACCTAGAAAATCGACACTTTAAGGTTAGGGTTAATTTCACTTTATCTCAGGCTATGGAATGTTCTAGTGGGGTCCCCCAGTGCTCAGTACTATGGTTTCTTTGTTTCTTGATCTACATAAATGATCTTCCTCAACAGGTAACGTCAGACTTATTACGTTTTGCCGACGACGTGAAACTTTGGAGAGAGATACGCAACCAAGACGATATACAGGCACTTCAGGAGGATCTGACTCGACTTCAAAGTTGGGCAGACGATATTGGACTTACGTTTAACACTTCAAAGTGTAAAGTAGTCCATCTGCGACATGTCGCAGACTACAGTTATAACTTAAGAAATTCCTCTCTAGTAGTATCCCAAGTCGAAAAAGATTTGGGAGTCCTAGTGCCCCATGATTTAAAGTCTTACGCTAACTGTGACAAAAATGCCTTCAGAGCAAACCTTGCACTGATAACATTGAAGCGCATTTTTGGCCAGTTCGACGGAAGAACTTTCCATACAATCTTTAATAGTTTCATCCGTCCCCATTTAGAGTACGGAAACATAGTACTGCCCCCCTCACTACAAAAGGACAAGATCACTTTAGAGCGTATCCAATGGCGAGCCACGAAATCCGTTCGAGGACTCAAATTCAAGCCTTACGAAGAACGCCTCCACTCACTAGACCTTTACCTATTAGAGTACAGGCGTCTTAGAGGTGATTTATTAATGGCTTATAATATTCTTAACACTTCTGGACATCCTCTTAAACACCTACTTAAGCCTAGTTCGAATAATAACCTAAGGGGTAACACCCAGAAACTGGAAACTCAACATAGCAAGACGGAATGTAGACACAACTTCTACTCCTTAAGAGTTGTCAAGAGGTGGAATTCGCTGCCGGCCGAGCTAGTCCAAGCGACTTCTCAGGAGTCCTTCAAGAGGCAATTTGACCTATTCTTAAGGACCAAGGACATTATCACACTATGATTTACCAATTTCTTTTCCTCTTTTATTGTTAACATGCCTAGGTTCCTGCCTGGAGGATTTGGTGATCCCCTGCTACTAGACACGGAAGCCTGTTAAGCGAAAGCTTCTTCTATTCCGTCCGCAACCATTTGAACCATTTGATTCCATTGTCTTTTTGGGGATATGTATATCTAGCTCACCAAGTCACACTATAATATCCCACATTGTCTCTGTTAAATTCAAGGTAGTCAAAGAAAAATTTAAGATTATTTAGGAGAGAGTTTTAGATGTTATTACGAAAATTCGAATAAGAAACTGTATGTGTTCACACAAATTTACTGTTGGACATTGGACTTAGCGCAAAACATTCAAGTTTGCTTCTAGGTGCCGCGCACGCTTCTCAATTTTGGGTTCTAGTATGGATCCATCGTTCATAAATGAATTAACTAACTGTTTACAACATACTGTTTCACCAGAAAGAGAAACCAGAAGATCAGCAGAGGCATATCTTAAAGCTGTGGAACTACGTCCATCGTATTGCTTATGCTTGCTCCATATTCTTCAGGATCCAAATGTCCCTTCCCCAACACGAATAGCTGCAGCTATCACTTTGAAAAACTTCATCAAGAATCACTGGCAAGTTGTAAGTACGATATACTTTTGTGATTATCCATGGGTTGTCTTTGATACTACATAGTACGAAAGTCTGCTAAGTGTTTCACTGCCTCTTTCGATTAAGTCATATTGGTCTTAGCTTTTCCCCAACCTTGTGGTATAGTTAAACTATTGTGGTGCGGAGCTATCATTGTCGCCCATTCACACGCGTATGGATAAGTCTCTTACTTTTCACTTTCATACTTCGTATCATCCTGATTTTAACTTACATCAAACTGTACCGCGTAACCTGAATCGTTGATTGTATCTGGATTTTGTGCAACTGACTATTACGCTTTATCTTTCAAATGGTATTTTGTAAGTTACATATTCTTACTATCACTTCCGATCACGACGATTATTATGAGTAAATAAATAATGGATTTCGTGGATGTATACCTAGTGTTTAAGACCGTTAGTTGTTAATATATCATCTCTCTCTCTCCATATATATATATATATATATATATATATATATATATATATATATAATTATCATATCACTTTAATGAAGATGTATCATAATTCATTTTGTAGGACTCAGATGAGACAGATCGAATACATGCATCTGATCGTGAAGGATTACGCAATCAACTTATTGGAGCTATGCTTTCTGTAGCAGGCAATATTCAATCGCAACTTTCTGAAGCCATAAGCACAATTTGGCGAGAGGATTTCCCAGAAAAATGGCCGAATTTGATACCTGAATTAGTGCAAAGAATGGCACAACTTGGCGCAGATTTAAATATGGTCCATGGAGTTCTTTATACAGCTCATACATTGTTTAAAAGGTATCTATGGTTTTATATTTTATTTCAAACAGGACTGTAATCTGTTAACTTAAATGTCTTTACCATTGTTTACTGTTCGTTTTTTGACGATCAAAACGAACATTTGTACTGGTTTGGTCACAAGCTTTTTCCTACCAAACATTTTGTCTTTTGGTCTATTCATTTATTTATTTGAACACAAATACTGGTACAAGGGGGCACCAAATACATATGCGCCACATGAAATAGTCTCGTGGGAGAAGTATATTTTTATTACCGCATTAAACTACATCACATTGTAGTCTTTATGTACTGAGGTTATTATTATTTTTCAAATTATCATGCTATCACTGAAATCTCCACTTTTCATGTACTATGTATGAAAACTATTATAATTCACAGTATCAAACAACTAAATACAAATTCCTCATTTATTATGAATCAAGTCTACAAGGTTTTCACTGTATTAAGTGATTATAACTAGTTAAATCTAATTTTGGAGAGTTGATTTTCACAAACCTAAATATAAAAATGACACAAATAGCATGTATGTTTCAAGATTATCTAAACCTTCTTTCATGCTTTCGTTACATATATTGCGATGGGGTATTATTCCATCCTTTACGTTGTTTAATCTTGCCAGATATCGTCACGAATGCGCTGGTCCAGATTTGTACAGAGAAATGAAACTTGTGATTGGTCAATTCGGTGCACCTCTTACGGAACTTGCTAAGGTATATTTATATCATTATTATTAATGAGAGCTTCACATACATGTAATTATGCGATTTTCTCATATTCACTAAAATTCAACTTGATCATGTATGTATTTATCAAGATTTAAGTTAATTATGTATACCTCTTAGTTATTTCCCTGTAGCTTCAAACTTCAGAAATGTGAATAGGCCAAAATAACTTTTCTACATCAAGTTATGTGTGTAATTTTTCTCTGATAGTTAACTCGACAACGAATATTTATAGTCGTCTTATTATCGTTTTTAGATTGTCTTCCGTTTTTAAAGTTGATCTCTATTAAATTCACCTTGAATATGTTTATTTGACTACGACAGAATTTTATTGTATTCCACTTTCATATAACAATTATAGATTGCACTCAATTAATTTGAATGTTTATTTTCACTCACAAGTCATTCTTCTATAGTTCGAATTTAACCTTCTTTAGTTGTGGGATGACCACTGAGCAACGCCGAAGTGATTTTAAGAAAGTTCACCCTACCATGATCTGATGAGCTCCGTAAATTAGTGCGAGAAATCAGAATCGGGATTTTAAGTTAGAAGTTCGGATAATTCTATTTATTTATTTGAACACAGATATTGGTACTAAGGGGCACTGAATACATATGCGCCACACAAGTCACTTGTGTGTGGTCTCTGATACTGCTCAGGTGCCTGAACCAAAGCAGGTGGTTTTATTGTGGGGTCGCGCCTTGGGCCTTCGACCTAAACGTCTGATTCACAAGGCAGTGGAGAATAGTAAGGAGATGCAGTTCCATGTTGGCCGGTGACCAACGATTGGTTCATACGCCATTTGTTCCTTCGGGATCCTGGAGTTCATGTGCACCATTGGCTCGGAATGAGGGTTTTCTAACTCCCCTAGTTAGATCCTGCGTGTTGACAAACTTGGTTAAAGCGCCGGACTTTCGCTTTTTGTCCTCTCAATTCTGTAAACAACAGTAATGCCACGAGAAGGCAGTGAGTAGGACATTCCTGGCAGAGGATATATACGCGTAGCCACGTGAGAGCATTTGGAGAAGGGGAGTTGACTTTCCCCACCCTCGGTCGTATCAGAGCACTTGAGGGAAGCTAAAGTTCGAGTTTTCATCACGAGCTGACATAAGCTATAATGACAAAATGCTATTGGACCGTATGGATGAATGTACCAAAATGCAAGACTCGTCATCTTAAATCGGATTGATCCGTCCATAAATTATAGTCTCGCCTAAGCGCTTCTCGTCACCAGGGTCATATAGATCAAATGACTCGTATAATTTCAACCACAGGTTGTATGATTTTTGAATTTCCACAGCAACAAATACTGTAAGTAATAATCATGGTGATGATACTTGTAGTTGATTTTCACATAATCCATGATACTTTCTATCAGCTTAGTGGGCAACGCATTCCTTTTTCGGCCAATAAATCGCATATTCGAACTCCACTTCAATTTGAGCAATCCTCGCAATCAGAGTATGGCCCATGTCCAAGTACCTGGTGAATAGTTTTATCAATTAAATAAAATATGCAACAGTTCAGTAAGATGAAATTCAAAGCAATGAACGTAATTGGATTTGATTTCTGTAATGAACTAATTATTGGAAATTGTTTAAAAAGTTGTAATCTATTAATTCGAATTGTAATGATTCAGATAATCCTGCCGTTGATATTTTAATTGGTTTGATTGGTCTTAGTTGAGATGCGCGCATCCTGTGCAAGCTTATATATAACAGATGAAATGTGGTTAGCAGCGGAATAAATGACGCGGGTTTCGTCCTATTTAGGACTGGTCAAGTAAATTACCTGGACCCCAGAATTGGAACTTGAGGTTAACATCACCTCTGGGATGAAGGAAAATCCTACTGATTGGTCTTGCATTGGACAAAACGCGCGTCCTAGATTCTCTTGTTAGCCACCTTCATCTATGCTATGCAAATTTTTAGTCTATATTAACTTATGTGAACTCAGGTTAGATAAATACAAATGACGAATCTATATTTTAGTTGTTAGTCAATGTGATCATATAGTATTCAATACTATTACACACATGATTTATAAGATGGACTCGAATAACTCAGCCAGTATTTATGTATTAAGTCATTTTTACCTTCGTAAAAACTTGTATAAGAAGTCACGACCTTCAGCACATATCCCTCTTACATTCATGCCCTTGTAATTCTACTGTTATGCATCTCATGTGTGCTTGTGTGTCTGTATACCCATTTTTTCATCCAATGCCTGTTTCCTTGCCTCATTATACATAATCTATTTTAATTTATATTTACTCATGTAATATTTAGTATTTTGAGTAGACACGTATACCTTCCGCGCTTCTTATTTCTGTCTGTTGAAATGAATGCATGAAATATAAAGATCCGAAACACTTATATCCGACTTTTCTATATCCCTGATGTCAGTAACTGGATTTGTCAACAGTGTATACTAAATAAGTAGGGTTTATTTTTCGTCTACATCACTAACAGTCGTATTATAGTCAGAAATAGATGGCGACTAGCAGTGAAATTCAGGACTCCCATTTGGGACTCGTTAGTTGAGTATACCTGCTTCCTAGAGTTGGTATCCACTCCGGGTCTCGAGGCTAGTATCGTTCACTTCAAACGCTAACGCGTTATCCACCTAACTACTTAAACGTTAATGAGAAGATTCAAACAATGAATACAAATGAATCTAGTCGTATTGTTTGAGAAAATGTAGAAGTTATTTCCGCAGTTACTTCAAACTTCTCTTGTATATAAATGTTGTTAATTAATTTTAATTTTGTAATTCCTTTCACTACAATATGCATACAGAATCTCCTTGCCTTGGTTATTGGAGCGAATCAAATCTCAGATGCCTCACGTTTAACTACAGTTCTTCAATGTTTACTACTAGTCTGTAAAATATTTCTCAGTCTTAATTGTCAAGTAAGTGACAATCTTTTGTCGGTCGGTTATTTACGGCTTTCCCCACCTGCTCATACTTTTGGCTTGCTTATGTGTAATTATTAATTTCCATCTTACTGCGTAGCGCGGTTTTTTATCTCCGTATATAGACCACTTCTGATTGAAATGTAAATATCGTAGAGTCTGGTTACTACTTCTGAACTCAAGATAAGGCATAGAGAGGAAGGAGCTTTGGTGCGTCAGCTCAAGGTCAGTGGTGCTGCTAGGGCTTGTAATTGGTCTACTTGGGAATGTTATGCTCTCGAGTAAATAGTAGACGCGAAATAAATCAAATTAAGGTTAGCATTTTGATTGGCAACTTGGTATATGACACTAGTCTGCGGTTCCAAGACATAATAGGCACCTTATAAGGTCCCATACCCTGTTACGTTCGACGATAATACGAAAGCATATAACCAGTCAGGCATGGTTACCACAAAACTTGATATCAATCCACATCAGTCTCTAAGTTGTCTCACATTTTACATTAATATACCAAGAGATAAATTTGAAAAAAGGAAAGACAATGAAGTCCAAATAATATTTTCATCATGAGGTTATCTTTGTTGTACTTTTCCCAACCTACTGGTACATCAGCCACCATCGCGTGTCTTAGTGAATTGTAGTTGACTGTGTTTAAACCACCTAAATTGATGAACGTCTACTTGGCTTGATCAATGGATTTGAGATTTCTATCAGAAAGCCTACTCATAGTCTTATCTAGTGTCTTCATACATCAATATGCTTTGAGGATATCTGTGGTCTAATATCTATCCATATCCCAAAGCCTTCATAAGCCATGAATAAATGAAAAGTGGACAGAGGTTTCAATCTATTATCGTTTATTCCTAATGTGTGGAAGTTAATTTATGTGATCGTGTTTCTGTCTAATCCCCATTTATATTCTCTCTCTTACAATCTTCTTATTTTTAACATTTTTCAGGATTTGCCAGAATTTTTCGAAGATAATATGCAAGATTGGATGACATTTTTTCGTAGTTTATTACAATTAAATGCATCAACTTTAAATTTAACCAATGGAACAGATGAAAATAATAATGCTACAGTTTTAGTTGAACAAATTAAATCACAAATTTGTGATAATGCCAGTTTATATGCATCAAAATATGAACCAGAATTTGCTTCATATCTACCTGGTTTTGTTACTGATGTATGGGAAATGTTATTAGGTACTAGTGCTCAAACAAAATATGACTTAGTAAGTATTATTATTTGATTTTTGTAATATGCTAATGGAGTTATAATTCTGCATGGATCATTAGTGATTAAAGCATTTGTTCTCTACTCTCTAAGGTCATCTATCAATTACTTATTAATGGTTTGTTGAGTAGTATGACTGCCTTTTGGGGAATATTACAAAACTCTCTTTCAATTTCATTTAACAATTATGATATTGTATTACACTATACTTTGTTAGGATCCTAATAGTTTTACCAACATCTTATCCATCATAGAATAGGTATTTCATTGTTATCTTATCATTACCAATTTGATTGAAGCGGCATCAATCAATGTTGCAAGATCGAGTTGAAAATATTGTGTGACAGTTAGTTGGTCATTAAAAATTACTTGTCACAAAATTTCTCAATTTCTGGATTCATCAGTTCTTTTGATATTTATTTAGTTGTACTACAGAATAATGAGCTTGAAAAGTGTTTGCTTCACCTAAAGTATATCTTGTAAAATGAATTAGTTGAATTTATCGACCACTTCACTTATCTTGGGAGTTTCGTCAGTCCTGAAGGTCTTCTGTCTGACAAAATCTTGGCACAGATTTGCAAAGCTCGATTAGCTTTTGCCAACTTGCATCACTTGTGACGTAGCCGAGATATCTTTCTGCAAACCAGAGGACAATTTTACTGCGCAGCAATTCGTTCCGTCTTGCCTTATGGATGTGAAACAGGGTCATCAATGATAGAAAATGTTCTTATGTTACTAATGTTTGATTATTGGTGTCTTCGTAGCATTGCTCGTGTATTTTGGGACCACGGAGTGAGCAATGCATTGATTAAGAATAGGGTACTAGGTAAATATGGCAAATCGGTTAATGAGGTAGTAAATCTTGACCAACGGGGGTCAGTCATCTACAACGTAGGACCAGGCACATATATGCATCGGTCCAAGTTACCATACCTCATTAGCATAACAAGATGAACACCGAATTCATAGGGGTAGTTACTTCAATGGTGATAATGTATGACATGGTTCAAGTCCGTTTGGAATGGTGCAGATGCATTCATTGTTTGTCTTCCCCCAAGTTCTGAGCTTCAGAATCCCTCATAACTTTTCATGTTTTTTATTCCACTAATTTATCTTTTCTTGAATTTGCGATGCCATGTCCATTCTGTCACTACTGACACTGGTAATATATCTACTGTGTAATTCCTCCTAACAATTTCATCCTGCGTATTAATGGGGTATGACAACTTGAACCGATGTAAATATACACCAGATTCTACATTGCAACTAACTAACTTATATGCATACATATAATTCTGAGTGAAACAGTGATCTAGTCGATTGAATCACTTAACTTTCAACGAATAAAATCCCAGATTTTTAATCCAACAACTTCCGGTTGTGCAACTGGATAATGTTAGTAAAAATGACTAACCTTTACACACAAAATAAGGTCTACTTCAGAGCTGAATCTTTACACCTATATAAAATTCTATTGAATATTTATGCTTCTTTTTTCATCTCTTCCTAAACTTTTAATTTAGCTTATTGGAAATGCAATTGGATTTTTAAGCTGTGTCATATCTCGTCCACAGCATAGATATTTATTTGAAAATCCTGAAACATTACAAAAACTCTGTGAAAAAGTTATTCTTCCTAATATGCACTTTAGAGGTTAGTAATAGTTTGTTTATTTATTGGATCAATTCCTAATAGGATTTTGTCCATCTCATTTGTATTGTCGCCTGTATTAGTAATATCAAAATAAGAATGTATCTTCCTTCTAATGCCCTGGTACGGCCGAGAATAGGGAAAGTCCGCTTACCCTCTCGAAATGCTCTCACAAGGCCACGCGTATATAGCCTCTGCCAGGGATGTTCTACTCGTGGTATTACTGTTGTTTACGAAATTGAGAGAACGAAATACGAGTATCTGGTGCTTTAACCGAGTCGGTGAACACAGACGCTCCACCTTGGGGAGTTGGAAAACCCTGATTCTAAACCAATGGTGTACATGGGCTCCAGTATCCTGAAGGAACAAATGGTGTATGGATCAATCGTTGGTCACCGACTACCATGGGACTGCATCTCCTTACGATGCTCCACTGCCTTGTGGATTAGACCTTTAGGTCAAAGGCTCAAGGTGTGGCCCCCTAATAAAACCACCTGCTTCGGTTTGGGCACCTGGGAAACATCACAGCCCTCACACTTATCAAATGAGATTTGTGTGGCGCATATCTATCTGGTGCCCCCTTGTACCAATATTTATGTGTTTCAATAAATAAATTAATAACTTGTGTCTGAAAATCTTACATTTGTTTTCTATTCTTCAAAATGATCAAAGATGAATAATTTCATTAAAATAAAACTGTACTAAATAAAATTATGTATGGTTTGGCTTTCTATGGTCATTTAATATGAAATTATATAAGACAAAGTGATATATTGTGTGCGTGTGTATATTTTACTCTTATCTGGTTATCATACCTGTAACCTTAAAACTTTGATTGAGATCATAATGGCCATTCTGGATGTCGTTAGATTTTGATAGTGGACAACAATAAATTGTGTTTGTTGGAGAAAAATAAACCGATAACTGTATGTCTATGTATTGTTATGTCAACTAAAGGGAGTCAAATGACATTCAATCGTAATAAATAACTAAGTAATTTAGCGTACGTTATTGTTTTCGACAGCTATAATGTGAAGCAGTGAAGGGATTCTACTTTCAGTTACTACGTCTTAGAACCGAGCTCTATTACACCCACTCTAGTTTCACCAGCCAAGTAGTATCACTAGCACAAAGTTGAACACCCAGAGCATGTGCTAATCTATGTCTACAATTATTTATTGAAGGATCCAAGCTTCAGAATCAATTTTATGTTCCCCACTTGTTCTCAATCTTTCTAAACATGTTTTAAACACTGTTGTCCATTCCTTCATTCTACCATTCAATGGTCTACATGTCTTTCCTGTATATATACAACATTACAATCACTATATTTGATTTGATAGATACGATTTATTTGTTCCTCTTTTTAGTGTTACATCCTTGACTTTCTCTTAGATGGAACTACAAGTATCATCCGTTCATAAGCAAACCCTTATATCATTTTGATTTCTGCCATATATTCCCATTACTCATAGTATTTAGTACATTTTGTAAATTGATCCATGTTCTAATTAGTCAAACATTCAAGTTATTACTAATTTGAAGATCTTCTTTGTTCAGAAGCTTTCAAAACTCTTTGATCTCTGCTAAACTTCTAAGTAATGCTTCATTTTCATTCTTATCACCTGTTCTGTTCAACATAAACGAACTAAAGAGTGTTTTTAGATTAGACACTAACTGAAAAGTCACTGTTGTAAGTGTTTGATCTACTGCACTCATCACAAATTCTCATGAAAATACCTTGTTGTTTTTTCCTGTGAATACGTAAAATTTATTTATCTTCCTGGCTGCTAATGAATTAAGGATTATGTAAAATGTCAAACATACATTTAGTAAAGTAAATGGTACTACATATACTTACCAGAATATTTAATGCTACCGTCATTTGTTTTGCTGTATGTGACTAACAATCTTAAGTTGTTGTGGAAGAAATTGGGACTTCAGTCAGTCCAACCTAATCCTTTGTATCCTCCAGTCTTGTTTTATTAGTATTATAGTGTTAACTCAGCAACCAGGTTCAGACTTGTATACTTTACTTTAATCCATACTAGTGATGTGTAAAAGCTAGTGATACACTATCCGATTGTTCAAATCAAGATAAACTGACACAGGATTCTAATGTGAGATCTATTAGTGGAAAGTTGAACCATCACTGAACTATATTGATTATACTTGTTTCACTTACAATTATTTTAACTAGACAATCTAATCTATTAATTTAAAATTTGATCCATTGTATTACAATTTTATTCTTTTAAAGCATTAGACGAAGAATTATTCACTGAAAATCCTGATGAATACATCCGCTTAGATTTAGAAGGTTCTAATGCACAAACACGTCGAAGAGCAGCATGTAATCTAGTTCATGTATTATGTGAAGCGTTTGAAGGTGCTGTTGTAACAAATTTCGCTACATATATTGAACATTTATTAAATGAATATACAAATACACCAAATGGTGGAGCATGGACTTCAAAAGATGCAGCTTTACTATTGGTCACTTCAGTTGCTAGTCGTGGTAAAACAGAAAAGGTATGATTATTTGTTTTTAAAAAATGTAATTGAATGAAATAATTGATTTATTATCTTTGTAAATTTCTCACTTGTTATCACTTATCAAGTACCTATTAACTTCATCTGTTTCACCTGAAGATTTTAAAACGTTCTATACATGATCAATGTTAGTGAAAATATGATCAAGTTTTTAAAGAAATTCCATAAACTTTTGATATTTTGTCAGTGATGACTACCAAAATAATTGAATAAGTAATATTTTAGATTAGAAAATAACAATGGCTAATAAAGCTTTCTTACGTCTGTTACTCTCAATGGAACATAGGCCGACGACCAGTATTCTACAACCCACTCTGTCTTGGGCCTTCCTTCCTAGTTCTATCCTATCGTTGTTCATTCTTCTCATATCTGTCTCCATTTCTCGATGTAATGTATTCTTTGGCCTTGAGGATTCCATATAGGGGCTTGCCTTGTGACTTAGTTGGGTGCTTTCCTCAATGTGCATCCTATCCACTTCCAGCGCTTCCTGATTTCTTTCTCCTCTGAGATCTGGTTTGTTCTCTCCCACAGTAGGGTGTTGCTGATAGTGCCTGGCCAACGGAACCTAAGTATTTTGCAAAGACAACTGTTAATAAACACTTGTATGTTCTGGATGATGGCTTTCGTAGTTCTGCAGGTTTCCGCTTCATACAGTAGAACTCTTGACATTTGTATTGAAAATTCTGACCAATGTGTTTCACTGATTGCAAGCACCTCCCGGTTGTATCTCTTCATTCCTGCAGTAATTTAGAAGACTCTTCCGGTCTCGCACATGGTACAAGCATTCCATGTACTTAAATTAATGGTTGCTCTGAATGTTAGGAGGGGCATCAGTCTCGTGACTTCCAAATAAACTCGGTTTTCACCATGAGGCGTCATAGCTCTTCTAAATGAAGACTTTATAACTCCCAGGGCAGTGTTTAAATGATTTGAATTGTTTTTTGTCGAGTTAGTTTTCTACGGAACGGGGTCGCTAACCACATCTCAACCCTCCTCCTTTATCTGGGCTTGGGACCGACAGTATCCTCAGAGGGGCTCCAGGCGGAGTTGCCTATTAAAGCTGTAAATCTTTATTGTTAAAGCTAGTTATGGTATATCGGGGACACACATGCATGCCTATCCATTATCTACCTAATAGATAATAGTCGGATGAGAGATTTAAAAAATAACCAGCGACAACCTGATAAGTCTTGCTAATTGAACGTTATATTCGGTTCCTAAGCTATTCTCGTAACCCTCAAGCTAGAACTACACAGCGACCTGAACACGAGAAAAAAGGCGCAGAATATGCGAAAAGCACTTTACTCCAAACGTTCGTTTTAGTACAGAAAACATAAGGTTTTTATAATATTTTCGATGTCCTTGGGTTTCCCGAAAATTCTGGAACTCTACTAAACATAGTAGCAGTATAGTAATCAGTCAACCAGAAACTCTACATGTGACTCTTTACTTTCTTGATTTTTCTGGCTAAAACTTCATGTGAACGCTGATTGAATGAAATGCTTCTTAATGTTTCCTGAACCTTTCTTGTCTTTTGCGAGAAGTTTTTTGGATCACCCCAACACAACCAAATAGGAAATATCACATCGATTGATAAAAATCATTTTAAGTGTTGAACTGAGTCGTATTGACAGGTTCTCAGTTATTCTGGTTACTTTTATGAGCAAAATAATACTGATCTCTAGTTTGAAACCCGAGTTGATGTAACTCATTCGATTGTATTATTAATGTAAACTAATTTATTCCTTATCTCTGATGAAATCACTTAAGTTGTAATATTACTTCATCAGTTGTTGTTATTCTTCAAATTAGATGCTATATGTCCTTAATTTTCCATTGTCATCATTTCTACTAATTTTCGCTTTTTACACCTTATTAATTTTTCAATCTGATTGTGATAATATGAAATATGTCTACTTTTAATGATAGGCATTGATATTAATTAGTGCCTTAAGGTGCTAATCGTTATCACTTTCTAAGAATTACAATCGGAATTCCGATTATAATTCTTTTCTATTCCGAGTCTGCTATTCCATCTACATCTTAGCGTCCTTAACCTTGACCGTTGATACTTTCTGACAAACACAATTAAACTTAACTTAAGCTGAAGTAAGCTTCACTCTTATTGGTTCACTAATACACAGTATCTTCTATCCCCCAGTCTTGAGTCCGAAGTGAATACCGTAACAAAGTTCAGTACCTATCTTGAATAGTCATGGGTTTATATACATAGTACACTGGACTGTATCATCTCATAAAGTAGAAAACCATAGTTGTTCATAAATAGGCCAAAACGGGCGGTGAAGCTGGGCAAGTTGAATTAACAGTGAACTAGAAATAATATGACTTATAGGAGCGGTTAACGGGTCAAACAAAAGTTTACAATCAACGGAACATAGAAACATCATAGTCCAATTATTTGATAATTATGCAACAAGAGTATGTATTGTTATAGTCTTAGGAGTTATCATTTTTTAATTATTTACTTCGTTAGAACGAACACCAAATCCTTCACTGTTTACGCTGATCTCTCAGTATTACATTGGCCAAATAGTCGTACGCAACGTAGAACCTGACACTTAAGTGTATCGGTTCAAGTTATCATAACACGTTACCACAGTGGGATAAAATTATTTCTAGACAAGTCCTAGAGTAGTAATTGTATATTGTGCGCCTCCTGTGTGGACAAATATAGGTAGTATGCAGCAGGAATGGAGTGCTTACCAGCAGAAGATTGAAATAAAACAGAGAGCAGTCCGAGTAACGACGAAATCGGAAGAATGATGAAGTATGTAAACGACAACTTATTTATTTGTTTAAACACAAATACCGGTACAAGGGGGCACTGAATACATATGCGCCACACAAGTCACTTGTGTGTGGGCTCTGATACTGCTCAGATGCCTAAACCAAAGCAGGTGGTTTTATTAGGTCACACCTGGAGCCTTCGACCTAGACGTCTGATCCACAAGGCAGTGGAGCATCGTAAGGAGATGCATTCCCATGGTATCCGGTGACCAACGATTGGTTCGTACGTCATTTGTTCCTTCAGGATACTGGAGTTCATGTGCACCATTGGTTTGGGATGAGGGTTTTCCAACTCCCTTAGGTGGATTCTCTGTGTTCACCAACCCGGTTAAAGCGACGGACATTCTCTTTTCGTCTTATCAGTTTCGTAAACAACACCCACGCCACGACAACTAAAGAAAGGTGTACAAATGATGTATTTTATATATGATTTTCATATTTTACGAATGCACTGTGTAATTTTGCTTAAAAGAATAAATTAATTTACCTTCCCTGAGTTTTCGTTCCCTACAGTAGTAGTAGTAGTTAGTATTAAAAAAGTAGGAGAAAAATTGTACAATACAACTTTGGGACTCATTTTTAAAAAATGAAGAAACGACATGAATACATTTACACTATTCGTAGTAATATGAATGAATTCTACCTAAATAATAGTTACATAAACATTAAAAGTTATCATTAAAATAATTTCAGACTAAATGAAGTATCATTTCCATGTTGATCAATTCAATTACGTTAAAATCTTTATCTGCCCTGGTTTGTTGATGATGCCTGACAAAATTTTGACATGGACTTAGAAAGCTCATTTAGCTTTTGTCAATTTGTGTCATTCTTATCTTGTGAAATGTCTGTCTGTTAACCAACAAGATGAGTATATTGTAGAGCGACCACCTCAGTCTGTATTACTCCATGGTTGCGGAACATATTCTATGAAAATAAAAGATATCCGTAAGAATCAACTTTTGGATTATAAGTGTATTTGAAGCATCGCTCACGTGTTATGGAACAACTAAGGAATCAGTGTTGTGACTAGGCGTAAAACGTACTAAACAAAAGTAATAAGATGGTGAATCTTCATCGGACAAATTGGTTGACATTTATGCCCTGGTACGGCCGAGAGTGGGGAGAGTCCGCTCTCCCTCTCGAAATGCTCTCACATGGTCACGCGTATAAAGCTTCTGCCAGGGAAGTTCTACTCACTGCCTTCTCGTGGCGGGGTTGTTGTTTACGAAAATGAGAGGACGAAAAGCGAATGTCCGGCGCTTTAACCAGATTCCAAATCAATGGTGCACATGGGCTCCAGTATCTTGCGGGAACAAATGGCGTATGAACCAATTGTTGGTCACCGGCTTCCATGGGACTGCATCTCCTTACGATGCTCCACTGCCTTCTGGATCAGACCCTCAGGTCGAAGGCTCGGGGTGTGGCCCCCTGTTTCGGTTTAGGCACCCGGGCAGTATCAAAGCCCTCACACATATCGAATGAGATTTGTGTGGCGCATATGTATTTGGTGCCTCTTTGTACAAATATCTATGTGTTGAAATAAATAAATATGTTACGTATACCTACATATTGGCTACTTTTTTGTGTAATAATAAATTAGATTTAAGGAATACTAAGAATACTCAATCAAGATATAATAACAGTCCATGAAACAATTTAGTGTTCGTCTAAACCACTTTAGTTGATGTAGCCTACATGTTTGAAGTTGTCTACATAATAACTGTAATCACTGGTTAGGTGATGTGATTCAAAATCGATCACACTGACACAGATGTACACTTATTCTATCTTCTTTTAAGTTTTCAGCCTTAATATTATTTCATAATTCTTATCCTTTAAATTCTATCCTTTGTTTTTTCCCCCATCGTATTATTTAGTGCTTAGTCTTTCTTATTACTAATATTTTAATTCATTATGTTAACCTTGCCCAGTAAACACATATAAATGATTAGTTGAAGTTGGACATTAACACCATTGGATGCCGGCTCAGTGGTCTAGTGGTTAAGTGCTCGCACGCAAAACCAGTAGGTCCTGGGTTCGGATCTCGCAGGGGGCGAAGTCGTGGATGTGCACTTCTGAGGAGTCCCACAATAGGACGAAACAGCCGTCCAGTGCTTCCAGGTTCCCCATGGTGGTCTAGCTTCAACTGGCTCATGATCTTAACCATCGAAATTACATATAAATGAATAAATATTAATCTTATTTAGTGAAAATAAGTTAAATCTATGGTTTGTTGTGGTAATTTCCAAGTTTACTTTCATTACCCAATGAATCTATTTATTCATTTGTATGTATTCATTTTATATATTTTTCTGGTTAGTTTTCTACGGCATGGGGTCGCTAACCCCATGTCCAACCCTTCTCCTTTACCCGAGCTTAGAACCGGCACTAACTCTAGAAGATTTACAGGCGGAGTTTTTCTTATATTTATAGTAGTCTAAATAGAAATTTTAATAAACTATTATTATCTATCCTATTATTCATTCTTGTTATTATGATTATTTATGTTTATACTACTTCTTTAGCATGGTGTTACAGTCTCCACTGAATTAGTTAATCTAACAACATTTTTTGAAAATCATGTTTTACCTGAATTACAAAATCCTAATGGTAAGTTTGTTGGTATGTTCGTTTTATTTTTCTTTCTTTCTTGATACACTGTCACAATCTTTTTCAACAAAAACTACTTAATTTTTGTGAGGCACCTTGACAACTTCATTTCGTAACAGTAGTTGTGTACTTCAGTTATCGTATTATTGAATAATAGCGGTAAATCCCCACCAACATGCCACTGTCGCCGTTACATTATTCATTCTAAGTTTACTAGTCCATAAATGTCTACGAGTTATAATTTACACTTATTTGTTTGCAATTAATTATATGTGGGGTTTGGTCCTCTATGAAAACTACCTGCTTCAGTTTGGGCATCCGGACAGTATTCCGGCCCTCACACATATCAAATGATTTATTTGGTGCCTCTTTGTACCAGTGTTTATGTGTTCAAATAAATAAATAGTTATAAGTTGCCCTGGCCAACATGGGACTGCATTTCCTGACGTTGATCCACTGCCTTGTGGTTTAGACCTTTAAGTCGAAGGCTCTGGGTGTGGCCCCATAAGAAAACCACCTGCTTTGGTTTAGGCACCAGGGCAGTATCACATCCCATACACGTGTCGTGACTGGTGTGGCGCATATATATCTGATATCCTTTGTACCAATCATTGTGTTTTGTATTCTTACTGTAATGTTATAATAAATCTATTCGATTCTATTATGTACTTCTCTTGTATTGTAATTCCTTGAACACTATACTTCAATTATCTCCCACGAAATCAGAACAAGAATCGTCGAGGTATAATTTATATTCTAATAAATCTGAACTGCTAAAAACTTTCAAGTTTCCATCTTAATATACGTCAGCTTGCGCTAATCGGTTGGGTGTGAATCGATTAACGTATTCTTTGATCTGATTCAGAAGTCTATCCTTTTAACCTATTCATTTACTTTACCCTAGTATATTGTCATGAACAATTCACTACTCTTCACTTGCTTTCTTGTGTATTATAGTTAATTATTTGCCTGTGATCAAAGCAGATTGTTTACGTTATGCTATTGCATTTCGTTCGCTACTTCCATCTGTGGCCTTAATCAATCTATTAAATATGACTCCAGTGTTACTTACCGCTTCAGCACCGGTTGTACAAAGTTATGTAGCTTCATTAATTGATAAATTATTGGCTATGCGACGATTAGATTCACCTACAGATCCTGTGTAAGTCTACTATTTTTATCATTGATATATCATAGTGACTTTGATAAGGCAGAGATGAGATTTATGTAGTTATCAATATTTGTGATTGTACTAATCGACCTGCTACCACTACTACAACAGCTATGGTAACTAAACAACTATTACTGGGTTTTTTTCCTGATTTTTGTTATAACTGTCGTCATTGTTTCTTGTGTAATCTTAAATAAATTTCTTGTTCAAGGTTAATTATATTCACCTAAATCCAATTAAACTGTGATACGATCAGTATGAAAACTTTTATTTGAAGAAAGAAACATTTTTATTATTAATAACCTAATGGCACATAATTATTTGAATAGTTTTGTACGATTGTAAAACCTGGTGATCCAATGACTAAGTCACTGAATCCTTTCACTTTCCATTGCATCTACTCTCACTTGATGTAGTTCTGAGTAGTAACATCTGTTTGAACACTGGATAGTGACCAATGCCATTGTTCTATAGTCCTTAATAGTGGTAGGATTTTATCAATCAGTTTGTGATTTGGATAATACTTCAGTGGACGTGGCATCATATTCACTTTGTCCTGATGTAACGTGGTTCAAGGTTAGATGGTGGTTGGAGGTAGTCGATAGGAAACCCTGGACCCGGGTTTCGTGCTACTTGGCACCTTGCCATCTTATGATCAATCAATTGTGGCGGTTCAAGGTATTCAGCAGGATGCTCTCAAACCTTAATCTCATGCTAGTTTATTCCTTGTCAACAAAGCATACCTGAATTCTTGAGGATGTTGATACTCCGTGTGTGATTTGAACCCACACTACTTAGATGTTACCGCTGAGCTATTTAATCTGATTTTGTTGTCATTATCTTGTACATACCTAAATTTATTTGTACTTTGATTATTTATTGATTAGTTGCATTAAATTCCAAATTAACAATGTTGATCCCAACTATTTAACAGATCTCATCATTTATTCTTAATGAATGATTGATTTCAGAATACTAAAAGAACAAGTATCAGAACCTCAATTATTAATTGATAGATTATTGAATATTTTGAATAATCCTGAATATGGTGAAAGTGTTTATGTAATAAGAGGTAAGTAAAGTTGACAATTGTATCTTATGCAATATGATAGTTAAATCAATAACATAACTTTGTTAAACATTTAATCTATCAACACACTTACCTAGGCCTGTTACCCCTTGTAGTGAAGTCAAGACCATCCACCAACTTATTGTTTACATACTCAACGACTATCAATTATTTAATTTGACTGTAATTACTATATATGACTGTTAAGGATTGATCATAATCATTTGTAAAGTGTTGAAATTTATTTATTTATGTATAATAACTTAATGAAATGATAACAATCGATGGTTAGAGACCTTGAATGACATGACTCAAAATCGTTTGCAATGGCGAAGGTGCATCCACTCTTTGTGTTCTCCTGAATCCTCCTTGTCTCTTTTTTTCTCTTTACAAACTTATTTCACTGGATTATACTCCTTGAATAACATCTTCAAACCCTAATCTTTCCGATTGTTGCTTATACTTTTACTACCTCTACCACTATGTGGTTTGAATCGACTACTGCATCTCTGTGCTAATACGGTATGGTAACTCGAACTGATGTACGTCCGTACGAAGTTCTACGTTGTTACTGATTGATAATAAGTTAATGTAAATTACATAATTGTTGTTTTCTTTAGAATTTTCTTATCCTATTCTCTCTCATTTATTTTCTTTATAGCCTTAATGCGAGTTTGTTGCTGTTTACAGGAACGTTGTTTACCGTCAATGACATCACTTGTATCCACTTTATTATCTCGTCTTACTCAAGTTGCAAAGGTTTGTTTAACAGTATAGTTTTTCATCCTAATTATATATGTTATGATTCTCTCTTGTTACAATCCAGCCATTCCTATTGCTTAGTACTCTTAGACACCAATTCACTTGACAAGTCCCTAAATCAGAACACGATTGAACAGTAAAGAGATTATGTTCCAAATAACAAGGTTAGATGGAAGTAAGAAGCACAATAAGAAAAACGTTATTATATTTATAGCTTTCACATGAGGTTGTAGAGTGTTCTCCAAGTATTGACTAGCGCTGGTTGGATAAGGATTAGCCAATCAACGTACAACAACGCAATCGCGTATTGAGCATGCTTTAATCCAATCTATGTCCCGTTAACAGTATCTAAACCTTGCTTTTTTCCTTACCAATCTATACCGTTTTTCTTTACCACCATCATTATCATTATTATGATTAGTATTATTTGTTGTTTTGTTCAGTTGTTGTTGTTGTTTTTTCATCATTTTACAGAACCCATGTAAACCGGATTATAATCATTTCTTATTTGAAACAATCTGTTTATGTATTCGTTTAACTTGTGCTACGGAACCAGCTTTAGTGTTACATTTTGAAGCAGCATTCCTTCCAATCTTTCAAGATATTTTACAACAAGATGTTGTTGGTAAGTTGTCAGTTTTGTTATGCTTGTGGCCTGAATACCCTGCCGGTATACAACGTAATGATACCGCCAATCAAAGAACAGTAATTTATTGACCGGACTAATGACGCATAAAACACGTACGAGTAGTCTAGAGTCTTATCTGTTCTGCTTCCCGCCTAGCTTTGCCTGTTAAGTCCAGAACACCAATCTCAGCCTCTGCGACATGAATCATTTATTTCAAACATACTTGGTATATAATACCAACCAAACAGACCATCTTTTACCATCAAATAGAAAATAATATTTGTGCAAGATCTAATCAGAAGTGTCTGTAGTTGTGGAATAATGTAATTAATAGACAGGACATAATTCAAGAATGGTAAATCGTTCATAGGTCAAAATAAAGCTTATTATAAGAGGAACACGAATATGCATAGTTTAGTTACTTAACAATTACACAATAAAAATATATGTATAGTATTTGACCATAAATGGATCCCATCAGTTACCATCCCTTATACTTATCGGGATATAACAAATTTTGTTTGTAATCCAAAATTCTCATTTCTAAATTTATCATATACATTATATCTTCTAGAGAATGTACACAAATGTTACCAGGTCTCAGTTCATTAAAGTGCTGATTTATGTAAATCATCTGAATTACTGCCTACCCCCCCCTACGATAATTTGCCTATCACTAGCTTCTCTATGCTTTATTTTAATGCATAAAACACATGAATCTGTCTTTGGTTTACTGTATGTCATTGATGAAATAAATGCACAGATTAAATTTAACTGCATTAATCGAAATAAGTTAACGTCTAACTTTTTCTAGCTAATTTAGTTGAAGGGATTTTGTGAAGTTTGGTTCCATTTATAGGTTATATCCGTCATAGATTAAAAATTATGAGATACTAAAAGCATATTTCGTCCCGGTATGGGGCTCTTTAGCAATGCGCGCCCATGAACTAACCAGAGGTTGAATCTAGGGTTTATAGGTCTCACACTGAACACTTAGGTATTAAAATCATTGAGTCGGTATTCAAACATATAAATTCAACTTCAATCAGATCACGATAGAGTTCGATGATTACTGAATGCCGTTAATGACAACTATTTCACTCTTGTCATAGATTAACCTCCATTAGTTATGATTTCTCACGTGAACTTCAAAAATATCTTAAAGTAAGTTACTAGTAAGCTGACTATCATAATGCGATCGGGGGTGTGGAATTATGGGTAGGCACTGATGAGGAGTCTCATGCTGTGATAAAACAGCTGTCCAGTACTCCCGATTCCCTATTGGTACCAACTGTTTCACTTTCTTCGTGTCTGTTTTCAGTTACTTCACATTAATATATGTGTTGCTTATCCTTCTTGTTTATTATTTGTCTTTTTCAGAATTTGTACCATATGTATTTCAATTGATCAGTGTTATGCTGGAACAATATCCATTATCTCAAACTGTTCTAACTAATTGTAAATTACCATCACCTGTTATCAATGGCATGACAACAGGAACACCTAATAATTTCCGACCCTCACAAGCTTATTCAGCTTTACTTCAACGAATTCTTGTCCCATCTCTGTGGGAACCAAATAGAAATGTTCCATCGCTTGTTCGTTTGTTACAAGCTTATCTGTTACATAATATGGATGATGTGTTAGCAGCTAATAAGGTAATTCACTTATAAGATGTATCTGTAAATGATAATCGTTTTTGATTTGATTTCTTGGGTTGTTCTTATTTACATTAAAGTTATTGACAACAAGCAATTGATATACACTTTTGAGGTAGTTGTCACGCGATGTTTACTCGTATATCATTAAGTTGCAATAAAACTAAGAACGGTTAAACAAGAACATACCATTGATCCATGAATTCATTGACTGTTGAACTGAATCCTGTTGATTTATGCAAAATAATATTCAGTTGGATTCCATACGATAATTGTGATCAGATCAGACAACATGGCTCAGAATAATCGTTTTACAGTAGTGTGAATATATTCACAGTTTATCTGTTTACCCCTTTAGTTCCTAAAGAAAATTTTTTTTTGAATTCTATGAATTCATTCATTCATTCTTCTTGAATCATATAGTCTTTACTTAATCTTTTCTACTGTTATGGTATTTGTCTTAATAATAATCTAGTTTGTCAGTTTTGAACTGAAATTCCATATTAATTATATAGCGGATTGTTTGTTAATGAATTATTGATTTATTCTACAATTCACATTTCTTATCAGAACTTTCAGGAGTACATAAGTCGAAATAAGTTAGTAGTAGTAGTAGTAAATATAGAATTCTCATATTGAAGTCACGTTAATTATCAATTTATACATACATTACTAATTAGTTACCTCATACTTATTCATGTTAATCTTAACTTAAAATTGATCAGTCTCTTATTAGTATATGTACATTTTGTGTGGATTGCCTCAATATTATCTTAAATCACAAGCATTGTAAATAGAGATGGATAGTAGTTAACGATGGAATCCAGGACGCGCGTTTCGTCCTGTTCGGGACTCGTCAGCCGCATTCATTAGCTAAAGTGAACAATGTGATGGCGTTCGAAACGAATGGTACTGGGTTTGAGTCTCAGGGTGAGCATCAACTCTAGGATGCAGGTTCAACCAGCTGACGAATTTGAAATAGAACAAAACGCGTTTCCTGGATTCTATTGCTCGCCACCATCCATCTCTGTTTTCCAGACTATTTATTTCATTACTTTGTTTATAATTTTGTTAATTTTTATCGTAGACAAATGTTGTACTATCCACTAAAAATCTTTAAGTTTTTTTTCTTACATTGAACAAGAAAATTCATTCTTCATGTTTGTGTATATGGGTTTTGTTTTTGTATTTTTCCCACTGTTCAAACAAAAGATACTGGGATCCAAGTCTCAGTGTATGAACATCACAACATTAAAATGTGAAGATATACATCCAGTTGATGATGATGGGGATGATAACTTCTAAATAGGGCGAAATCTATATCCTGTTAGAGAGATTCTACTATTAACCAGAATTTAACTCAATTATCACTGATCTTTCATTATGATATTGAACATAACTCTAAGTAGTATAAAATAAGGTATAAGAAATATTTAATCCTTATATTAACGCTTAGATGTAGAACTGTACTCTCTTCTCCGAATGTCTTTTTTTTCTCTCACGAGAATACTTAATGATTCACTTTTGTTTAATCCATTCAGGTTCATTCTTTGGTAAGCAAATTTAAAATCTATTTATCTCATCACTTACTATTATCATTATTCACTCATTTACAAGGCATAAATTCCTAGTATTTAACTTTATGTCATAATTTCTTTGTGTTGATGATAAGTAGTTATGTTACTTGGTTACTCACAAACCGAAGTACATGTTAGCCTAGTTCGAATATGTAACTTTATTTCTCTGTACTAATGGGATATGGCGAATTGAACCAATGTACACACGTACCAGGTTCTAAATTGCAACTAATTGATCTTATCACATATGACACATGTAATTTTCCAAATTTATTTCACTGGATTATACTCTTTAAATAACATCTGTAAAGCCTAATCTTTCCGATTACTGCTTTTACTCATACCACCTCTACCACTAAGGGATTTAAATGGACAACTACATCTCTGTGCTAATGTGGTATGGCAACTCGAACTGATGTATGTACATGCGAAGTTTTGCGTTTTTACTTACGTACTCCTGTTGCCCCTCGTGGAGGAGCATAGGCCGCCTATCGGCATTCTCCACGAAACTCTATCCTGGACAATATTTCCCAGTTGCTATTCATCCCTAACATTTCTACTTCCGATTCCCGATTCAGTGTATCCTTTGGCCTTCCTCTATTCCGTTTCCCTTCAGGATTCCAAGTTAGCGGTTGCCTCCTGGTTCAGTCTAGTATATGTCCTATGCACTTCCAACGTCTTTTCCTGATTTCCTCTTCAGGTGGAAGCTAGTTTGTTGTCTTCCACAGTACGTTTTTGCTGATGGTATCCGTTCAACGGATATTGAATATCTTGCGTAGACAATTGTTTATGAATACTTGTACTGTTTTAATGGTGATTATAATAGTTCCCTAATTTTCAGCTCCGTTCTGTAGTAGGACTGTCTTAACGTTCGTATCGAAGATTGTGACTTATATGTTGATTGACAGTTGTTTTGAGTTCCATATGTTGTTCAACTGTGTTTTCACATCTGCATCGGATCCTCTTCGTTCATCGATAATGCTGTCCAGGTACATGAGAGTCTCCACCAATTGTGATCGGGTTAATGTTCTCCGTGTTGTATGTGAGGATCTTGGTTTTTCCCTTGTGCATGTCGAGGCCTACTGATGCAGAGGCTTCTGCTACAATAGTCTTGATCTGCATTTGTTGATATTTGTGGGGTAAAAGAACCATGTCATCTTCGAAGTTCAAATCATACAACGTGCATTACTTGTCAACTATAGTACTAGTTACTGTCCCTAGGTATAATGCATACAACTCAATAGTTTGAGACGTTATCAAATATAGTTGGGAGTAGAAACTGATGACGTTTCTCATGAAATTAGGAGGAAATCTTTCTTAAGTAAGAGGAGTCTTTCTCGGATATGTTGTTAGCCAAACTATATCTTATGGAACAATCTGCTCTCGTCTAGTTATGTTTATTCATTTATTTCTTTTTTCATTATACTCATCTTTTATCTTTCCACAATTCCATCACTTCATCGTGTAACACATATTTATTTCAGTACCCATTTTGTACTCAGATTTATATTTTATAAGGTGTGTCTTGAGCTGATTATTCCTGTCAAATTCGAACTTAATTGTCACAGTCTCTGCTGTTGAATTATTTTCAAACTATAACTGGCTTCTTATTGGACTAAAATACTTCTGATAGTTAATTCGATATTTTTGTACAATTTTGAACTAACATTTACTCTTTAGAAGATTTTAAGCGTTAGACATCGTTAAGTAATGTTAGATAGTGGTTAACAGTAGATGCCAAGACGCGTGTTTCTTCCTATTTGGAACTCGTCAGCTGGACTCAGTAGCTAAGTGAACAACGTGATGGCGTTTGAAGCGAACGGTACTGAATTCGAGTCTCAAGGTGAGCATCAACTCTAGGATGCAGATTCAACCAACTGACGAATTTAAAATAGAACAAAACGCGTGTCCTGGATTCCATTGCTCGCCACCATCCATCTCTGTTTTCCAGACTGTTTATTTCATTACACTTTAGAATTCATCATCTGGATGTACCTACATCAAAGTGTTAATTTTATTACGGGGTCTCGAATCCCAATACTTTTCGCTTAAGATCTCTAACATTTTATCTACTTAGTTATTAATTTTAGATAACCACTAGCTTATATAACGTAAATGAATTTTATTATTTAACGTTTGTTTTTCCCTAACCATTGTTGTTGATTTGTGAATAATTTATTATGCTAATTGTTACTGCTTCTAACTTCTAAACATATTTTCATACGTCCCAATTTTTGCATCGGGTCAGTGTTATTCTAATAGTTGAAACAAATATTCTATTTATATTTATTTGAGATTATATCGGAAAAAGACGATACTCTCATCTATTCCCAGTCCAGACGTTTAGAACGATGGGCGGAACACTTTAGGGAACAGTTCAGCTGGCCTTCAGCGACTCTACAACTACCCTCCATTCTCAGACAGCGTGAATGGAACATTGAAGTAGGTCCCCCAACTCTTGCTGAAGTTCAAAAGGCTATAGATAATCTGAAACGAGGAAGGGCAGCTGGACCAGATGGACTGGTTCCAGAAGTCTTTAAAGATGGTGGTCCAATTTTAGCGATTAGGTTGACTAATATTTTAGCTAAGATCTGGGAGTTAGACGTTATTCCATCTGACTGGTCACAATCACTTATCGTCCCAATATATAAGAAAGGGTCAAAATCATCCTGCGACAACCACAGAGGGATTAGTTTAACTAATATAATATCTAAGATACTAGCCTCGATAATTATCAGACGCTTAACTAAGACTCGTGAACTGCAAACACGAGAAAACCAAGCTGGTTTCAGACCTGGTCGTGGCTGCATCGACCACATATTCACCATTCGTCAGGTTCTAGAACATAGGCACACTTATCGGCGTCCGACGATGGTGGTCTTTCTTGACTTAAAAGCAGCATTTGAGTCGGTAGACCGCGAGGTTCTGTGGCAGTGTCTGTCATTGAAAGGCGTACCTCAGAAGTACATAAACCTTGTGAAGGCTCTTTACTCGAACACTACTAGTCGAGTGAGAGCTTATGGCGAACTGTCATCTACTTTTGCAACCTCAAGTGGTGTCCGTCAAGGATGTCCACTTTCCCCATTTTTGTTTAACTTCATCATAGATCTACTGATGGAAATAACTTTCTCGTCGACTGAGTTCTCGGGTATTGATCTCTTTCCAGGAGGTCCACTTATCGACTTAGAATACGCAGATGACATAGTCCTGTTTGGTGAAGACGCTGACAAAATGCAAAGTCTTCTGGTAGCACTGAGCAACAATGCCAGAATGTTTGGAATGCGCTTCTCTCCCTCTAAATGCAAGTTGTTGCTTCAGGACTGGTCTGCGTTAACACCTGAACTAAGGATAGGGAGTGAAGTAGTCGAACGCGTTGACAACTTCACTTATCTTGGAAGTCTGATCAGCCCTAATGGGTTGGTATCGGACGAAATCTCAGCACGGATTCGAAAAGCTCGTTTGGCTTTTGCCAACTTACGTCACCTGTGGCGAAGGCGAGATATCCGTCTATCAATAAAAGGACGAGTATACTGCGCGGCAGTCCGTTCTGTTTTACTTTACGGTAGCGAAACATGGCCATTAAGAGTAGAAGACACTCGTAAGCTGCTAGTATTTGACCACAGATGCCTTAGAAATATTGCTGGCGTCTGCTGGGATAATCGGGTAAGTAATAGTGAGGTTAGACGCAGGGTATTAGGAAAGGATGGTAAATCAGTTGATGAGGTTATGAATCTTCATCGACTGAGATGGTTGGGCCACGTGTTACGTATGCCTGAACACCGATTACCACGACGTGCAATGCTATCCGGTGTTGGGGATGGTTGGAAGAAAGTTAGGGGCGGCCAAACCAAAACGTGGCATCAGTGCTTGAAGTCACTAACTTCTAATCTGAGCCATGTTGGTAGATGCAGACTACTTGGTTGGGGTCCGCGTGACTATCGTAACCAATGGTTGGAGACTCTTGGTGACATGGCTCAGAATCGATCACAATGGCGTCGGTGTATACACTCGGTTTCTTCCCTTAAACTAAGAGATTAAAAGCGCTTCATATCTTTCTTTCTACTAACCAATTCTTTCTTGTACTATATCTCTATATCCAATCTTTCTCTTATATATTACCACCTTTTACCTAACCACTGTTATGAATCCGGTGTTCATCTTGTTGTGCTGATGCGGTATGGCAACCTGGACCGATGCACATAAGTGCATGGTTCTACGTTGTAGCTGACTGACTGACTATTTGAACACATAAATACGCAGCAGATAGATATGCGCCACATAAATCATACAATTTGTATGAGGACTGGGATATTGCCCAGATGGGCCACACCTTGAGCCTATAACCTACAGGTCTAATCCACAAGAGAGTGGAGCATCGTAAGGAGATGCAGTTCCATGTTGGCCAGTCACCGACGATTGGTTTATACGCCATTTGTTCCTTCAGGATGATGGAGCTCATGTGCACCATTGGTTTGTAATCAGGGTTTCCCAACTGCCCTAGATGGACTCTACATGTCCACCAACCCGGTTAAAGCGCCGGACATTTGCTTTTCAACCTCTCGATTTCGTAAACAACAGTATTGCCACGAGAAGGCAGTGAGTAGGACTTTTGTGGCAATAGTTATATGCGCGTGACCACATGAGAGCATTTGGGGAGGGTGAGGGGACTTTCCCCATTTTCGGCCGTACCAGGGCATTTAGGGCAATATTCTAGTTGAGAGTTGACAATAAGATGAATTCCATAAAACGAATATTAAATAAATTAATTGTAGTAGCAAACATCGATGACATGGTTTAAGAGGAAGCATTGAAAGTATATGTATGTGATTGGATTACTTAAACATTCGATAAATGGAAAATTGAAAAGTAGATTTATGTACTGCCTTCCCTATGATTGATTTGAATCTATCCCATCCAACTTCTTTAATGACACTGATAGCGGGTTATCGTACAGACACTAATCGAATGTTCTTCATTTATCAATAGTCATTAATTTCATGGACTAATGTTACATTTTGTGCTTGACCTCCTCTCAAATTTCTTCTAACATACTCCTACAATGGCTACTATTGAGTATTCATAGTAGATGGTAATTTCAGTTAATGAAGATTGAGATGAAGTGATATCGTCAACACTTTATGCTACTTCATTCTTTGCGATCAATCAAAGTATTCGTCAGAGATTTCGAAAAGTTGTCAACATTTTTTTGTACTATGATATTCGATATTCTAAGAATTTTAATGGCATAATTATCTGTCACTTATTCTATTTTTTTTGTATCATTCATACCCATCAATGAGATGAATTCATCTTAGATGTTAATGTTTGATTTATGATTATCTTCACAGATTTAAATCATGAGTCAGTTGAAGCTAGACCACTATTGAAAACCTGGAAGCACTGGACGGCCGTTTCGTCCTAGTATGGGACTCCTCAGCAGTGCGCATCCACGATCCCGCTCCACGCGGGGCTCGAACCCAGGACCTACTGGCTTCGCGCGTGAGCACTTAACCATTAGACCACTGAGCCGGCATCCAACGGTGTTAATGTCTAACTTCAACCAATCCACGAAGTCGCACCACCGTACACCATTGTCTTCAGTGAGCTGATATCTCACAACAGACCTGGTTGAACTCCACTGGTAACGGCTTCCCACTAGAACTCCAGGAGTATATCTTGAAGTCAGTCACTAGTGAGCAGATGATTATTATCAGAAGGGGTTTGTGGAGATTTTAGAAATTTTCACAGATTTAAATCTATTTTGTTTTTGTTTGTTTTTCTTTCGTCATTCTCCTTGATATCATCTCTCTTTCTCTCTCTCTCTCTCTGTGCCATCTCTGTAGATTACACCGATTCTAGGAGTATTTCAAAAATTAGTTAATTCCTCTATAAATGATGTATATGCATTTGCTTTATTAAATGGTATTCTATTATCTGGTCCAAAAGATATTTTAATGCCAACATATTTTCGTCAAATATTCATGATTATATTTCGTCGATTACAATCATGTAAAAGAGAGAAATTTATGAAAGGTTTGTTAAACCATTTTTGCTATCATTATCTCTAATCCATTTCTCTAACCTTTGTATTGTTAATAGATATGTGTCGCTTAGTCTATAATGATAGTCAGTCAGTCAGCTACAATGTAGAACCAGGCACATATATGCATCGGTTCAAGTTGTCATACCTCATTAACACAACAAGATGGACACCGGATTCATAAAATTAGTTAATTCAGTTATGGTAATATATTCTATAATGATAGAATACATATTTTTCAGTTAGTAACATTCAATTCCGGGTATTTTTTTTTTAATTAATCAAGTCGGTGAATCTTTATCGACTACCCGACGCCTCATAAATAGGTAATATGGAAATTAATTGGAAGGAAGCTGTGTAAAACAACATAATTTTATTTGATAGTCATTCATTAAGCTTATCAAATGATGATGGACATTATTTTGAGGTCGGGCCAATTATCTTAACCAATAATTAAGTAAAATCTTTAGTGACGTAGCTCTAAATCGACTATAGTTGCGTAAAATCTATTCTTTTTTCAGCTGTTCATTTTTATTTATTTCAACACATAAATATTGGTACAAGGAGGCACCAAATATACATGCGCCACACCATATTTGTGTGCGTGGGGGGGCTGTGATACTTCCCGGGTGTCTAAACCGAAGTAGGTGGTTTACTCAAGGGGCCATTCCCCGAGCCTTTGACCTAAAGGTCTGATGCTCAAGGCAGTGAAGCATCGTAAGGAGATGCATTCCCATGGAAGCCGGTGACCAATAATTGGTTCATACGCCATTTCATCCCGCAGGATACTGGAGCCCATGTGCACCATTGGTTTGGGATCCGGTTAAAGCGCTGGACATTCGCTTTTCGTCCTCTCATTTTCGTAAACAACACCCCCGCCACGAGAAGACAGTGAGTGGGGATTATCTGGCTGAGACTGTATACACGTGGCTATGTGAGAGCATTTCGAGAGGGAGAGCGGACTCTCCCCACTCTCGGCCGTACCAGGGCATTTGGGGGCTGTTCAATCTTGATTTGTAGGTTTACATCAAAGACTATTAAAAATCAAGCAATCAATGGTCCACCGACCTTTGATATGAGGTTACTCTTCAGTACACATTTATGACTGTGCTAAGGATTGAATCCAATATATTCAATATTCGTGGCTAAGTGTCCTACCATAAGATCAATAAATTTTTATATGATTTCATTTTGTGTTGTTTTTTTTAAACTCTACTGTTTACTTTCGTTGATACTACTATTAGTTAAATACAAATAAATACTTTATTCTGTATATATAATTGAATTGGTTCAGAATTATCTCTAGTGAATGAAAACTCAGGTAGGGAAAAAAAGCAAATTATTGTTTATGGCTAAATTACAGAGTGTCTTCTTAAAATATGAAAACCATATGTTAAAAATACATCATTTGTACATCTTCCTTGAATTATTCAATCACTCTTTGTTCCCTTTCATTTTCTCACTTCAATTCAATCTTCATTTGACAGCCATTCCACTTCTGTTTGGTGTTGTATACTACTTATATCTGTCAGGATAAGTAGCAATCACCGAAATACTACTAACACTTTTATTACCTGAAATATAAAACGATATTGATTTTACTCAAATTTCATCTTGTTTTATTTATAGCTTTTGCATCATTCATTGCTCATATGGTATTAATCTATTCACCGAATGAATTGATTACACTTGTTGATAGTATTCAATCGAATCTATTTGCTCGTGTACTAGAAAAAGTTCTTATTCCATATGCTGAAATTATTATCGCCACACCATTGATTTCAACTAGTGGTTTTGCAAGTAAGACTGTGTTTTTTCTTTCTTTTTCTCCTTTGTGTTGTGTTTACGAAGAATATGGTTTTGCATCCAAACGGATTATCAAGTGTTCGTTACTCTTCTTTCATGATATTCTTATCAATCGACATACTTCAACTTGATATGTATATAACCGGTGAATATGTTTATGCATTCGAGATGGACTGAGATTTCTTCAGTTTAGCACGTTGTATTATTATAGATAACTGTTGTTCACATCTTACATATGATGTTTTCTTCATCTTACCACTGTCTCTCCAACTTTTTTTGGCATGATATAACCTTAAAGAAAAATTGGAGGTAGTCATAGCTCATGATTCTGTTTAATGCTTCAAGATTTTAATTACTATTAAACTTATACTTAAGTTATAAGCAGAGATGGATTGTTGCTAGTAGTAAAAATATAGAACTTGTGTTTCGTTCTATTTGGGACTCGTCAGATGGATGTATCTGCTTCCCGGAGTTGTTGTTCACTTCATGACCCGAACTCACTACTGTTCTCTTTGAACTCCGTCTCGTTATTCCGGTAGCTACTGATTGCAGATAGCCATTGAATTGTGCAATGTGGTTGCTTGAATCTTCCTTATTTGTGTTCAGGACTGCAATTGAAGATTCATACAACCAATATAAATGAATTGTTTTCGGATGTTTTATGTACATTTAATGAAATAGTTTATGTGAGTTAAATGTTATACTTTCAATTTCATAACCAGACATCATAATAAAAAGAAAGAAATTCACTTCTCTCTATCCTTGTGTATTTATTTGTTCGATTTCAGAAAGTGCTGAAGTATCTAGTCTACCATCTACTTCTGTCTGTACAGAATGGCGTATGAATAGTATTGGATTAATTCGATTTATTGGTGAAGCACAAGCTTTACTTACTGATGGTTCTACTTATCGTGAATCATGGCTTCCTTTATTAATAAAAATTATTACCGGTTTGGCTAGTGGTCCAGGACGTGGTGGTGAGGCTGCAAGCGATTTGGCTGTATCGATGGCAATGAATTCTATGGTAGATGGTTTTCAAAAAGATGAGCGTTTCATTGAAATAGACTCAGATCCTTGTGAGTTTTATATATGGGTGTTGCTTCATTTATTCCATCTCATATTGTTGTTTTATGTACTTACACTATTACACTACATCATAAAACAATCATGTGAGTGGTGTAAGTTTCTTCGGTTCTTCATAGATCTTCCAATAGTTCACCATTAAAGATGAATGACTACAGCAATTCGTTTTAATTTAACAGTTTTTCGTTAGAGTACTCTACGCTTTAAGTGTACTATGAAATAAACGCTATACTGTAGGACACTTATTGAAGCATAATTTCAAACCTTTCCCATACTTCTTTTATTAACTGACCTAACGGTGTGCAAATATCCAGAAGGCGAAATAAAGTCGTAATAACAGTTTATGTAATCCGCAGTATAAATCGAACAATCAGAAAACACGCAATGAAAGAGACCAATTGATTAATGTTGTTTAACGAGTATATATATATATATATATATATATATATATATATATATATATATATAGGAATTCGAATGGGTCATCAAACATTTTAAGCAACTAAGAGAAGTAAGCACTTAGAATTGTCACATACAATCAGTCATTGCGATTTATACATGTAGGAGATAGATACATATGTATACAAAGATATAGGCAATTTATTGCCGTGTTAAAAAGTGTATCAGTACTGCATATAAAAGTGTGATTTCCATGTATATATGTCTTTTTTGAACGTAACATTGTATCTGGATCCCTACAGGTCAGATAGATGAAAAAGGTAAATATAATCAAAGTTAGAGCTTGAAATGAAATCCCTAGTGAAATGTGTACTCCTATAAAATGTTCATTCAGTAAATAAGCAGGGAAAATGATATGTGTTGCACGCAGATACACTTAACAATGAAGAGTTGTTGCGTTACAAATTCACGAATACACATCCTATCTCCTTTACATTTATTATTTTTTTTTGTAATCTCCGTTTATCGTCGGTTTAATGGTTAGAAAGTAACTAGTCAACTTTATACGTTTCTATGATTTATTGTGTTTGTTTGCTTTTTTACAGCTGGTCAGTCAGCTTACTCTCAGTTGACATTTGCAATTCAAAAGTTACCGGATTTATATGCTTCAATTACTGATCCCCGTGTTTACTTGGCAAAAACATTGCATGATTTATCCAATCTTTCTCCTGGCAAGGTAACAAACTAATCAATTAATATCAGAATGGGGTTTGTGTAGATTGTAATAATTTATTAATTAAGTTCATAAGCCCATTTAAGCTAAACTATCATAAGAAACTCGGAAGCACTGAACGGCCGTTTCACCCTAATGTAGGGCTCCTCGGCAACGCGCATTGACGATCCCGCACGCGGGACTCAAACCTAGGACCATCGGTCTCATTGGGTCGTCATAGTGTCCAGGTGTGATTTCATGGCAATTGATGAATTCTCCTGACTTTGTCTCATTTCATTTGAATAAACCAAGAACAAATATTGGTGCAGAATAGTATAAATTCATATTATTTCGAGGTTTCTCGTCAGCTGCTTACAAACCATAATTGTGATAGAATTTTTACATTGAGATATAGTGAAAACAATTGACATAGATGAGTGTAAATAACTGGATTACAATAATAATTATAAATATATATATATGCCAGAACAGGTCAGAGGTCAAAAGGAATTAATTCGGGTTGGATGGTGTAATAATGGAATTGAATAATTATAAGATAGGTTACGTAATAATAATAAAATAGAATTTGAAAAGTTAAGATAATTTAAGAGGATCAGGTGGCGGAAATGTGTGAATGATAATGTGATTTAAGAATTATGTAATAGGGGAGGGGTATAAATAAATAAATAATAAAATAAAAAGGGATTACCAGGGTAGTGATAAGTTAATTAAAGTCTCTTTTTGGATGCATAAGTCAGGTTTAAGTTTTTTGATCATGATGGCTTCAGCAAAACGCAGGGTGGTCGTACTTCTTTGTCTATTGATAATTTTGAAAGCATGTGGAATCTCGATGGTGTGCCCGGTGTCAAGTAGATGTCGAGCTATTACGCTGTTGAAGGCCTTATTCCCTAGCAGCCTCAAGTTTTTTGGAACATGCTCAGAAATGCGGACATGCACTCTTCTCTCAGTTCTTCCAATGTATGTGCTTTGGCACGTACATGTGAATTGGTAGATGCAGTTGGAGCTACTAAGGGAAGAGGGCTTGTCGATTTTGAATGTCACAAAATCTAGATAAACGACAACAGAATAAATTGAGATTTTAGTAACCATAACTTAGTTTTTTCCCAGCTCACTGCCATCATGACTCATCAAACGTCATCTAAATGCACAATTCTCTTTTTTCAGTACTGGCTAAATATTAGGTATTACACTCTTTCGATCAAGATCTCTACTAACAGAAATATTTTGTATAATCACAGCCCCTGAATACTCAGACGTGGTCGAGGGCAGTAAGAGTCTGCTATTCCCTGCCAGATGCAGGGAATTCTTCACTGCTTTCAGATGGTAAGGCGTTGCTCACAGAAGTGAGAGTATGGAAAGCAAATGTCCTACACTTAAACCGGGTTGTTGGGTACAAATGATTCCATCTAAAGAGAGTTAAAAACTGATTCCAAACCAAATCAAATACTTACTCATACACTCTCTCTTACATTGGTCTAAATATTCTATATCACTTTCATACACCTATTTAACTTTCAATTGTGCTATAACTGTGACGGCAGATTTGAGAGTAGCGAATTATCGATCGGACCAAAGACGCGCAAACACGTAGAACGACCTAGGGTTCTGATTGGCCCCGCTTCCCTGTCTAGCCCAGCAGTTGATTCCAGAACGCAAGTCACAGCCTCGGATATATGAATCATTATATTTCAAACATACTTTGCTTATATACCAGTCAATCAGACCACAACGTACCATAAAATAGAAAATAACATTGTACAATATTGACCAGTAGGAAAATAACACGTGAAATAAGTACTGACCAATAAAAAAATCATACCATGTCCAAGTCCAAGAATAGCATTAGACTTAATAGAATAATTTTTGGGATATTTTCCTGAATATCCCAACAAATTGATTCTTTTGTTATTTCTTCAAATTGTACTACTGAATAATATGAATATAGTCGTTGAATATTATTAACGGTGATTTATGATTCATAAGTGTTCGTCAATCTTAAATTCTACTGTATTTTCTCGGTATTACTTTGAACTCATCAATGATGACGTTTAAAGTATTGTTTAGTTAATCAAAATCAATGTAGAACCTGGGACATACTTGGATCGGTTAAACTTGTCACATCACATCAGTATAGACAGACGAAATAATGGAGAAAATTGTCAGAGTAATAGAAATATTCATAGTGTCAGTGGTAGTAGAAATGATATTAGATCATTTTAAAGCTGCAGATCTAAAGGCAAGATAAAGTATAGATACATCCGCGTCATTTTACCTACGGTATTCATACACTCATGTCATCTGACGAAGTGTTAACTTGATAAGATCAATTTATGATCGAATTTGAGAATTTATAATATTTCGTCCGTCTTGAAACTCTTCTTTCCCTAATTTTTTCCCATATTAATCCCATTCGTGCAAAAGCGTTAAAATAATTGAGTTACTTGCCTACTCCTGTTACCCCTCATAGAGGAGCATAGGCTACCCAATTCTCGACACAGTGTGTTCTTTGGTTTTCCTCTTTTCTATTTCCTTTCAGGATTCCAAGTTAAAAATGACTGAGTAATATTATAAATATAAGTAATTTGGAAAATACAGAACATAATATTATCCAATCTAGTAGTAGGTGAATATTTAATTAGTACATATATCCTGTTAAATAATTCTCAAATCGACTTAAATAGGATGTAATTCACCATATTTTAGCTTATTAACTTAAAATTCAGCTTGTCCTTAGTGTATTTACTTATTTAAACTCATAAATCATTCAATTTATGTAAGGGCTGGGATACTGCCCGGGTGCCCAAATGGAAGCACGTGATTTTGTTAGGAGCCACACTTGGAGCCTTTGACTTAAATGTCTAATCCACAAGGTAGTGCAGTGATAGCCAGTTAGCAACAATAGGTTCATACGCCATTTGTTCCTTCAGGATCCTGGAACACATGTACAAAATTGGTTTGGAATCAGAGTTTTCGAACTCGCCACCAACCCGTTTAAAGTGCCGGACATTCTCTTTTCATCCTCTCAATTTCGTAAACAGCAGTAATGCCACGAAGAGGTAGTATATAGGACTTTCCTGGCAGTGATTGTATGCATATGACCATGTGAGAGCATTTGGAGAGGGAGAGTTGACTTTCCCCACTCTCGGCCGTACAAGGGCATTTAGCGGGGATGGTGGCTGAAATAAGAACAATAATAATGATGATATACATAGAATTACAATGTTTACTCATATCATTTATTCATTCATTATTATCGTTTGTTTGTTTATTTCTTCATGTAGTTACCTGTATTACTGAATTCTATCACAGAACAATCTATAACTCTATACTTAAAATCATTAATGGAACGTAGTCAACTTTGTATTAATTAGAATAGAATACAATATAGGAAATATGCACAGAAATAACAACAAAACAAAAAAAAGAGAAGAAATTATACTACTTCTTTATTATTGTTTTCTCGTAAGAATTATATAAATGTAAGTTTGTGTGTGTGTGTGTGTGTGTGAAGGGGTTAAAATTTCAATATCTCTCCTAAATCCTTGTCATTCCTTCTACCCCCCCTCTCTATGTGTCTCCTATTTCATTATCCTTGATTCAATTCATAATGTGCTATAGTGATTATCGGTACGTTTGTTCATTTTCTCTTTGTGTGTATGTATGTATGTGTGTGTGTTCAATTAAAAGATGAAACAATTCAATATTATAAAGAGTATACCATTATTATTATTATTACTTATTGGTTTTTTTGTTATTATTTTCCAATTCCTCAGATTTATTGATCTTTTTGTGTTCATTGTTCGAGCTCACTCTGTATGTATGTGTGTGTGTACGGGGGGAGCAAGGTCTCAGATTTCACTCTATCTTGAAAGTTTCCTTTCTTTTTTTTCCTCATTTCCAAACTGTTCATTCACTTTTCCTATCTATTTTTATTCTTTTCTAATCTATGTATTGTATTGTATATTTGTTTGAATTTATCAATAGATAGATGATCAAATGAACAAAATAAGAAAAACTTTTTTAAATTTTTCTATTTATATAATAAAATAGTATAGAAGGTGCATTTATTGAATATAAAATATATCTGTTCAGTTCATTCTTATCTACTTTCCTATTCATATTAAAAATATGGAGAGTTGAGAGAGAGACAGAGAGAACAGTTCCATCTCTTGATCTTTCATAAAGATATATGTGTTCAGTTCACCGTAACGACTACAAAACCAAACAGACAATTGTTTGGGGCTAGTTACACATAATCTTTCTATGAAAAGATTTTTTGATATATTGTTCGTTCCATGTTTGAGAAAACTTAATCACTAGAAGTTCGTGTATCTAGGTAGCTGCATAAGTGCTAGTGGTGACGTGAGTGATGAGATCAATGCATGTATAGTGAAAGACAGAGTGTCTTATGTCAATCTAGGCCATCTTTGGCGCCTTCTTAATGTTGGTCTGGATGTAGAAGGTCGGATCTACAACGCGTCGGTGAGAGCAGTTTTGCTCAATGTTTGCGAAACCTGGCCTCTTCGAGTTGAGGACGTTAGAAAACTCTCTGTGTTCGATCATCGTTGTCTCCGAAGGATTGCTGACATCCAGTGGCAACACCATGTCGTAATGCAGAAGTTCGGCATCATGTGTTCGGGCACAGAGACGATAGTGCAATCAGTGTCACCATCTTGAAATACCGACTTCGGTGGCTTGGACATGTTCTGCGAATGTAGTCCCAGATAATGCCACGTCGTGCATTATTTGCCGACTCTGGGACTGGTTGGATAACGCGGAGAGGTGGTCAGTGGATAACATAGTGTCGTGGTATGAAAGAAATCTGCAAAGGGCTGGCTTGTGTTGGTCCTTCTCGATTCCCTGTTTGGGGTCCTAGAGATGGTGCAGTATAGTGGTAGAGACGTTATCAGATATGGTTCAGAATAGAAGCTAGTGGCGATCCTGCTGTAACCTTCTTTTACTTTCTTCATAAAAAGTGGTTGTATCTTCCTTAACTGAAAGATTTCTTCTGATTGTACCTTTCCGTTTCTCCATTATTATTATTATTATTACACTAGATGCACAAAAGGAACATGTATTTGAATTTATGACAATCTTTTTCTTAATTAGACAATGTAACAAAGAATTGAGTTACTGATCATCTTGAACATCAATATCAACACCTTTAACATTCCTAACTAGATTATTCATTATTTCGTGAAATATGGCTAGGAGAACAACTTAAATCAAATGGAAGAGAGTAGTATTGAAATAGGCTATAAAGTGACGTTAGTTATTAAGATTGATGTGAGTTTATCTAAGTGAATATGAAGGTAGATACTTATTAGATCAACTTCATAGAATCACTTTAGAATAGTGAACTTGATTAAGAATATCTTCAGCTTTAACTGTGATGTGTTTTTGACTTAACAAACACGGATTCAATGATGAAGGTTAAGTTTTCTATCCCTTAACCCAATCTAATTATCGAAGTATTAGAATCGTTTTTGAAAGCTATTAAAGACAACATCATCTTATGCTTTTCTTAAGATTAAGCTTTAAATTAAATAATGAATTGTCAATAATAAAATCGTAGAATGAACCAAAGAAGATGTATAATCGCTTTTCATATGGAATGTACCTTTTCGAAATCATAGATAAAAATGAAATATGATCATTAGAAACTCCACTCATATAAGAACCTAATAGTAGGGTTTAGTATCACCATTAACGAAGTGAACAGCAGTTGTCCTACAAACCAACATAATGTGTCTAGTTTTGTCACAATTAAAATATTCAGCATCACGAAGGGGATGTGTTCTCTAAGAATCCAGTTTGCCACAGGATAAACATTAACCAAAATTGTATTCACCTTTATATGTTGCATTAAAGTTGTAAAAGTCGGTGGGTTACTTACGCCTGTTACTCCCAATGGAGCATAGGCCGCCGACCAGCATTCTCCAACCCACTCTGTCCTGGGACTCCTTTTCTAATTCCATCCAATTCTTGTTCATTTTTCTCATGTCTATTTCCATTTCCTGGCGTAATGTGTTCTTTGGTCTTCATCTCTTCCTTTGGCCTTGAGGATTCCATGTGAGGGCTTGTCTTGTGATGCAGTTGGGTGTTTTCCTTAATGTGTGTCCTATCCACTTCCAGCGCTTCTTCCTGATTTCTTCCTCCGCTGAGATCTGGTTTGTTCTCTCCCACAGTACGTTGTTGCTAATAGTGTCCGGCCAACGGATCTGAAGTATTTTACGTAGACTATTGTTAATAAACACCTGGATGATTGTTTTCGTAGTTCTCCAGGTTTTCGCCCCATACAATAGAACTGTCTTGACATTTGTATTGAAAATCCTGACTTTGGTGTTGGTTGACAGTTGCTTTGAGCTCCAGACGTTCCTCAGTTGTAAATGTGCTGCTCCTGCTTTGCCGATCCGCGCCTTCACATCTGCATCAGATCCACCCTGTTCATCAATGATGCTGCCCAAATATGTAAAGGTTTTTACATCTTCCAAATCTCCTCCGTCAAATATGATTCTATTAATGCATGCTGTATTGTATCGGAGAATCTTGCTCTTCCCTCTGTGTATATTGAGACCTACTGCTACACTGGTCGTCTTCTCCTGCATTTATTGTTGCGTTTGGGATAGAAGGGCCAGATCATCTGCGAAGTCTAGATCGTCCAATTGCATCCTAGATGTTCATTGTATCCCCTGTTTCCCTTCAGATGTTGACGTCTTCATGATCCAGTCGATCACCAGGAGAAAGAGAAAGGGTGAGAGTAAGCTAAGGTGATGATATTTACAGTGAATGGTATTGACTTTCAATACTGTACTGAGTATCGATTCTACGATGCAGATACATCTAGTTGACGAGTGAAGTGACGCGTGTCCTGGATTCCATTCCCGTACATATTACTTGTAGCTTAATGACAATATACGCTGAACTCACCCTTTGCACATACACGATTTTATCATCATACCACCACTGGAGTCAGATACAGGGCCACTAAATACCTAATTTAGGTTTATCATTCAGCTTTCACTGAATAGTTAATAATTAAATAATTTTAATAGTTGAATTCATGAATTAATCGAAATTGGGTTAAGCGTTCACACACAAGACCGATAGATCCTGAGTTCAAATCCCGCAGATGGGATCGTGGATGCGCAATACTACCACGAAACGGCCATACAATGATTCCAAGTTTTTCATGATAGTCTAACTTCAATTGATTCATAAATTCAACTATTAAAATTACATTAATTATTACGTAAACAATCATATAATTGATACATAATTACATAAACAAAGTTATAAGACATTCCTGATAATTATTCATGACTTCTCTTTCTATTATATATACTGCCATCTTCATATCATACAATCGATACATAATGCAGTCAGCTACAACGTAGGACCAGGCATATATATGCATCGGTCCAAGTTGCCATATCTCATTAACACAACAAGATGAATACCGGATTCATAAAAGTAGTTAATTCAGAGGTGGTATATAAAAGAAAGATTGCATATAAGGATATAGTAGAGAAAGAAAGAAATAGTTCGTAGAAAGGAAGATATAAAGTGATTTTAATCTCTTAGTTTAAGGGAAGACAGGGAGTGTATACACCGACGCCATTGTGATCGATTCTGAGCCATGTCACCAAGAGTCTCCAACCATTGGTTACGATAGACACACACACCCCAAGCAAGTAGTCTGCATCTACCAACAAGGCTCAGATTAGAGGTTAGTGACTTCAAGGAGTGATGCCACGTTTTGGATCGGCCGCCCCTAACTTTCTTCCAACCATCTCCAACACCGATTAGCATTGCACGTCGTGGTAATCGGTGTTCAGGCATACGTAACACGTGGCCCAAAGGTATCAAAACATATAAGCACTAAAGTGATTTATTCACTTTGGGTATTTCGGTAGTCATATTCTAAAGAAAAACTAAACAGTAGCATTTATTAACTAGATATCAAATATTGATCAGTTTCCTTGAGGTTTTCTCCAAACTGAACTTCAGTGATCCACGATGTTATTTCACTATGTTTCATGGGTGTTGGTATACTTGGATCGTTAATATCCAAGCGCTTTTGATAAAAAGAAATAGTAGAATTTATTGCTAAATATCAATTAGATCATTCATTTTATACTATTGTCAGTAGTAACGACTAGGAGAGAATTCACACAATTAGTTACATAAATTACATTTGTACAATCATTTCGAACATTTACTACAGATATGACAATTAGTGTGTTAGGTAGACAACCTTCTATAACAAGTTGACGATTTATTTATGTTCTGAATGTCACATTTAATCACAATCCATCTGCTCATTAGTAACTGACTTCAAGAGATACTACTGGAGTTCTAGTGAGAAGCCGTTACCAGTGGACTTCAATCAGGTCTGTTGTGGGATATCAACTCACTGAGGACAATGGTGTACGGTGGAGCAACTTCATGGATTGGTTGATGTTAGACACTAACACCATTGGATGCTAGCTCTGTGGTCCAGTGCGTTAAGCGTCCTCGCGAGATACTGATGGCCCTGGGTTGGAATCCCGCGAGTGGTATCGTGCATGCGCACTGCTAAGAAGTCCCACAGTAGAACGAAATGGCCGTGCTTCCAGGTTTTCCATGGTGGTCTAACATCGGTCGGTTCATGATCTCAATCAAAAACTTAACAATCTCCACTACCCCTATACTGATGAAAATAGATTTACATTGTGTAAAATTGAAAACAACCTGTGACGTTTAATAAATGGCTTACTGTTATATCTTGAAAGCTGATTTCTCGATATACCGCGTATAATAGAGTGCTAGAACACCAAAACGCTTTCAAGTCGCAATAAGAAGACAGAAGACTAACGAAAGGAATATTATTCCAAACAGTGTCAATCATAGTACAAAATTGTCGCCTTTTGATATCTGGTACACAAACTTCTTGTAGTGGTGATCATAGTCAACCGCGACTCAACGCCACACTACAATCTAGTGATGGTTATCAGGACGAACTGTATACGAAGTTAAGGATTATATTGAATACTGATCATCACACACATTTTCACACTGTGAAAATTGTCAGTATTTTTTATACTGACTCTGAT